TCCCTCGACGCTCAACAATTCCTTCACGCGTATCTCGCTGGATTCTTGCACTGCTTCGACGATTGCTTTGTGCACCGTCTCCGCAGCCTCCTTCTCGGTCGCCACATCTCCTACATATCGCGACACGTTCTCCAGAACGAGCGATACCAGTTCCGGATCGTTCTTCGAAACGGTCCGGAAAGCTGGTCCGATCAAATCCGTGCCGTGCTCTTCCTCGAGGACCATCGATAATTTATCGAGTACAGCTTCCTTCTGCAAGAGCTGACCAGGATTCACAGTTGATTTGAGTATATCTATTTTGTTATTCTTTGTGTCCAATAATTCCGACAGTACGCTTTGGCAAAGAGAACTACGGTTTTGCGGAATCAGAAGAATCTTTAGAATCTCGTCTACGGATCGATTGATGTCTTGATCGCTCTGTCGCAGCAGTACATTGAAAGACTCACTGATAGAAGAGTAAACAAAATCTAGCGAATTGTTGTCTGACTTTGTCTTGTCCCGTTGGTCACACGATATTGTTAGAACAGCGGCTGTTATCGCCGCTCTTGTCGCATTTCGAAGCGATTTGACAGTGTTTTTATCATTCGTCTTGCTTTCCTCGTCGTTTTCCACGACGGAATGGATGCCGTTGGTTAATGGCATTGTTGCGTTTACAGAATCTAAATCTCGTTCTCCAGATTGCTGCTGCTGCTGTACAACTATATTTCTTGCCAATTGCACTACCGTGGACACGATTTGCGCCATCTTCACTGCAGTGTCGCCTTGCAGACTCAGCTTTGTTGTTGCCACGGCAAGAGCCTGCTCCAAGGCCACTGCCTTCGGATCCACATCCACGTCCACTGCTGGCAGATTCGTCGCGACTTTCCGTCCCACGGACAATCCCGCTTCCGAAAGCTCGCGCAACATCTTCGCATCTATGCTAGTCTGGCCGCGATGACAAAAGCGTGGATTGTAGTGCAAGTGTTGCGGACGTAGTAACCGCAATTCTTCGGGCGTAACCTCGAAGCCCTGCACGGAGAATTCGAGCTCGCCTTCAGGCGTGTCGATGAGATCGGGCGCGACGAAGCAGGGCCCATCCTCCGTTTGTACGATCTGACCGGGTACAAAAGTCACACCGGCCTCGCCGGTCTCCACCACGCGACCGGGCACGAACCTCGGTCCGTCCGGCGTGTCCACCACCTGACCTGGCACAAACCTGGATCCCTCCTCCTCGGTATATATTACCTGACCGGGAATAAATGTCGGTCCCACCTTGGTATCGACGATCTGACCTGGCACAAAACGCGGCCCATCCACCGTATCGACCGTCTGACCGGGTACGAATTTCGGCCCGACACGAGTTTCCACTATCTGACCGGGCACAAACTTGGGTCCGCCACTGGTATCGATCACTTGACCCGGCACGAACTCCTCGCCTTTCTCCGTCGTGACTATCTGACCAGGCAGAAAGCCATCCTCGGTCATGACACCCGGTACAAAGCGCGGTCCGTCCTTACCGCCGCTGACCAATTGCCCCGGCACGATTCTCCTGCTCTCCGGCAAATTCTTCACGCTGTCCGGAAAAAATTCGATGCCCTTCTCGGTTTGCACCATGTGACCGAAAATCTCGCGTTGCCGGAGAGCGAATGCATTTGCGGCCTGCGAGTCCACTGGTATGCCGACGGGTCCAGCGTCTCGGAAGATCACCTCGTCGAACTTACTCGCCGCGATGAATTCGAAGCCCTTCTCGGTGACGAGAGTTTGTCCGGGCCAGAAAATCACACCTTCCGGAGTCTTGAGCACCTGACCTTCGACAAACTTCTGGCCTTTCGGGGTATCCAGCGTCATTCCTGGCATAAATGTCGACGTATCTTCTACTTCCTTGGTGATGCCAGGCACAAAGTGTCTTTCGCCCGCTTTCGTTGTCGCGTACTGACCCGGGACAAACTGCAAACCATCAGTCGTCAGCAATGTCTGTCCGGGAACAAAGTTGACTTGGCCGTTTGGCGATTCAACGCACTGGCCCGGTATGAATTCATACTTGCTATCGATCTGCACGTTTTGTCCTGGCACGAAAACCATCTCGCCGTACTGACTCGCGACAGTTTGACCCGCCATGAAACGGATTCCATCCGGAGTGGCGACGGTTTGACCCACGACAAAAGTACCGTTTGCTGCTATTTGGCCTGCCACAAATTTCGGACCCTCCTTCGTCAAAACGGTCTGACCTTCAATGAACTTGCTTCCGTCACTCGTGTGAAATGTCTGACCCGGTACGAAATACTCGCCCCGCTCTGTTCTCAGAGTTTGTCCGGCGATAAAAACCGGCGTTTTCACGCCGTTCGGTTCGTCTATGGTGACGATATGCCCGGGAATAAGAAGAGGACCGTCGGGCGTATTAAAAGTCAGCCCAGGTACGAAAGTGGGACCTTGAGGCGTCTGCAGAGTTTGTCCGGGCACGAAGACAACGCCGGATGGCGTGTGCACCGTTTGGCCGGCGACGAATCTCTCCGCCGACTTGATATCCAGCTTGAGACCCTTGATGTTATGCTTCGTGGTTTTTTTACCAGAAGGCAAGTTTTGCACTAGTTCGGCAACCTCTTCCACCCGAGGCAGACATTCCAACGCTTGTTTTCCAGCCTGAAGAAGCTTTTCCGTCACGTTTGCGCATTCCTTGAGGTTATCTTGCGAGATATCTCGAATTGCATTCTGCAGCGTTGCGTCGGGCTTTGCAATCAACGGTGTCAGCGGTTTCGGAATCGCGATCGCCTCGAAGCCGCCCACGGATTCGGAAATCAGGCTGGCATATAAAATTGGTTCTTGATCTATAATCTGCGGCTCGATTGTTATCGGAGCCGGCATCTGTTCGATGACCGGCACACCAGGTGGTTTCTTCACATTGCACTGAAATGAGTTCCAGTCTAACACTTTGGAGACAGGCTTCCCTGTATTTTTCAGAGCATTCGAAATGTTGACAACATCGGAAGAACTCAATCTCGCCTGTTCCGCGTCCACGTGCTTCCAACTTTCCACCGTCTCTTCTTTCACTTCTTCCTTGATGGTTCTTAATTTGAGCTGCTTGGTGTACCGAAGCTCTTCTTCATCGGCCGCTCTCTCCTTTTCCTCGAAAATCTTCTTCGCGTAATTCAGTGCAGTCTGTTTCTTTCTCTTTCGCTTTCTAGCTTCAGTCTCCAATCTCTCGCGTTCTTTCAGCACCTCTTCTCGCGGTCCCAGACCGTCGTAGAGATTTTCAAAATCCTCCAGATTTTTGAAATCTACAGACACGTTTTTACCCTGTTTCAATCGTAGCAGAACGGTATCACAGTCTCGCGACAGCATAACATCCTTCACATCCCCGTCTCTGACGGCGGCCTCTAGCTTCGCCGGGAACACGAGACTGCATCTTCGCTCCTCCACCGTGTATACAAACCTGTCCTCTTTGTCGATGGGAGTTTGCTTTGTATTGAGAAGCTCTCGCAGGACGCGCTGCTGCTCGTTCTCGTCTTCCAAAATCGGGAATACATAACGATAGTCTTTCAGCACCACATGCTTCTTCTTTTCGCCGACGATCAGACCGGCGGTGTAGTGGTGCGGTCCGAGGTGCGCCGCATTTGTCGTGATTCTGCATTTTGACTTGTCGTGGGCGTGCGCACCCAACAGCACCGGAATGTAATGATGAGTCGGCAGACCGTAAGACTTGCCGGTGATGCGACAGAATCGCTTCGCGTCTGCCGGACTTATAGGCGGCAGCAGCGGAAAGTAGTTCGGTCTGGGGAGACCTCGGCTTCTACCCGTGATCCTGCAGAAGGACATTGTCTTCTATCGTAATGATCATTCGACGCCCATTCTCGATGAGATCGTCACAGTGACACTTTAATATTTAACAACGGCGATTCTTACGTCGATTTCAAGCTCGATTAGTGTGGTGAATAATTAATTATTATTGATCGCGTTGAATTTGTCAAGATTCTATGAAATTGCAGGTGCTTCTGATTTCTCAATCGCGATTTTCCCTGTCGCGATTGGTTCCTCAATGCTATTGTGTAATCGAGAAGCAATCAAGAGCGAAAGCGTGATTGAAAGCGCGTTTGATCTGTGAAACTTCTGTGATTTCAGGTAATCTAATTTGTAAACTCGCGACGAATCAGATGAATCATTGGTTGGAGAAGCGTGCTGTGAAAGTTTGCATTTTCACGATACAAAGATTAATTTACATTGCTTTCTTCTTCAGAATTAATGTTCAATTGCGTTATTTACGCCTGTGCCATCAATGAGACTGTTATGCCGGAGACACGGATAAATGAACATCAGCTCGAGACTTGGCATCTCGACGACGAGAATCGCGACTTGACGCTTTCGATCATTCGCACGCGTTGCTGTCTCGCCTTCGCCGCGCTACCGTTTCTTGAACTTTTTCTCGACGTCTTTCGTCGATTCATTTATACTACCCGTATCTCGACTCCACCTATAACTTTTTGCACACGATTCTCTTCTCTTATCCAAACTATATATTTAATTTAAAGTACGATCAAATATGTTCACATTTCTCATCTTATGTCTTTATATTAATCGAAAAATTTAATTAACACATCTCTGGCTATAAAAATCATCAGTAATGATAAATTAATTTATTTTTGATAACATTTTGTTTGGATTATGAGTGTATTCTTTACTGTTTTACGAGAATAATTAATTTTGATTTTTAAGAAATCGATCAATGTATATTCTTTGAGAATAATAATTTTAATTGCATAAATTTTTCAAAGAATTTTTCGCCAGCAATCGGTACCGGTAGTCAGTCCAATTGTAATAATATAATAAAGGTATATTTTCTTCATTGCCTCAAGAAATTCGTCTCTTACAGTTACATTTATATATTTCTAAAATTATTTATTCTCTTCTCAGAATGTTCCATTTCATCATTTGACATTTCACTTTTGGTTGCTTAATAGTTTGCACATATGTCAACTGTGGACGGATATCACATTAGTTTCACTTCTTGAATAGTTTAAACATTTACAGTCTAGAAAGAAACATTTGTCGCGCACGTCATTATATAAATTATAGTCTAGATATCTCACTGTTATTAAGTAATTTATTAATTCCGTGCGTATGCATTTATACCCCGCGCGACATCTTTAGCATTTAACGTTATTTGATTATAAATAATAAAACAACAGATAACAATTTTTGTAAAACAGAAATTAATAATTGTTTATTTTCAATATTTTCACTTTCTAGAAAAAGTAGAGAAATCTTTCTACTTCTTGATAGCAATCAATTTTGCAAAAGAAAAGTTCTTTAGATACTAAGACTTATTCTTATATTTCTTTGTTACAAAAAAAAAATTGTTTTGCTCTTTATCATTTTTCTATGCGAGCATTTTTTTTTATCGGAATCTACGTGATGTCATTCGGTTTCCGTTCGATCGGATGCACACGTTTCTTCGTTATTTCCAGTCAATCCTCATCGACACACTGTAAGTCGATCCTCGCTCGTATCAATTCACTGGTTAAATACTATCACTCATTGCCACCAGTCACATCGTTCGATTTATCTATCGTATGATGCGCATCTCCCGAAAAGTATATCGACGATACGCGGCGAAAGCGAGACTACTCTCGATGGTACCAAGTGGCTAAGAGCCGTTTGCACAGCGAGTCTCTCTCGGCTCCTACAACCAGAAATAGCCTACCCTTCTTACACTTCTCCAATACATCTTTAGAACGGAGTACACGGACTCGGATCTTGGTGAAATCGTGTGTGGCGTACACCACGGTTTTCGGCGTTCGAGAATACGATCGAGGAAATTTTTCACGCCGCTTATAATCTATAAACTGTGGGATTTCCCGTAAATCTGTAACACCAAGCCTGCGTGGCAACTAAGACGAAATACATCTGGATTACGAAAAATGGTTACTGTATTATAAGTCTCTCTGGCGATAAATAGTTTTATCTGATAGTAGTAATTTGGTGCAACGATTGAGCAAAATTTTATTCGCGATGCATCAAGTCGCATATTGATAGCAGTGGATATATTTGGCCGCGATGTGTAATTGCATTAAAATTTCAAAACGAATGCGCTGCTTTTGACCATCATGCGCGATTATTTATTCGTGTATTTTTGGTCAAAATATTTAATCGTGAAGCAACAGTCGAGCGTAAGCATGTGTGTATCAAGCCTGAGTATATTTGAACTTACAAGAAAAATATTTATTGCCGTTTAGAATATTCGTATAAAGTATTTTGTATAATAAGAGCGAATTTCACTATTTTTGTAAAAATGAATCAAAGTTGTATGACTAAACGCGTTTATTAGAGTATCAACACCTTTAAATGTTAAAATACCGCAAGCATTGATATTTTCACATTAATAAAGACATTAATAATATTGTTTACTAAATTAAATCAAATTTAAGAATAAAAAAATTTAAGAAAATCCCATGTAAATAATTATATAGTAAAAATTGTTTTAATTGTTTGACAATCATTAATAATAATAGCTTATTACATACATCGATATCAAGAGTGAAATATTTAATTTTAAACATCCCTCTTACGGCGAGCGCGAGCTATAGTAATAAATCGTAAAATTTTTGACATATTGTTGGTTTAAAAAAAGCAAAAAAAGTGATCTGCCCCGAATGGTTAAACCTCTCGTAAACAAGTGCGCGATCGACATTGTTGGCAATGTCGAGCGGGATGGATGCGATAAAGCTTCACAATGAAAAACGATGAGAACGACTGACGGCGTTTAAACTTAAACGTTTATCTGGTGCCAGTACGTTGGCAGACGAAGGAAAAGTCTACGTTCAAGCATGTAGAACGCAATTCCGTATTTTTATGTGTGCAATTTTCCACGAGTGATTTAATGGACTAAAGCGGCGTCAACGTTTTGTTCCGCGGTCATTCGCGGTGATTTACGATGACTGTTAGCTTTCTTGAAGAGAACCCTACCGACGACGACAGACAGTGCAAAGTGATATTGAAGTATAATAAACCGTTTCATTGTGATGCACAAGTATAATTTCATGCGGTGCAATCAATGTCCGGTGAAACATTGAACTTAATTTTGAAACAAGAAATGAGATTATTCATTTTACTTATATAAGATTTGAGCGAGTATTATTTGTCAATAATATCAAGATAAAAAAAATTGGAAGATATAAAAGAAGTGCAAGATTAAGCGAGAAATTCATCGAAAAAATTATATTAATCACGTTCCTGAATTAGAGTCCACATTCACACATTCTCTTCCATTCTAAATAAAAATGTGTAAGTGGGAAATTTCCACAGAAAAATTTTTTTAAATCTCGATGCGCCAGACGTCTGCATTTCGCTCGCGGAATTCGCAATCGCTCGTATAACTCACTGACGACCGATAAACGCATCTGGCCGTTGCAACGCGTTGTTGAAGCCACGCGAAAGATGGACAAAAATAGATCTGAAATAAAAATCAACCACTAACTCCAGGTAATCGCCCCCCGTAGCGTAAACTCCTCGGACTTTGTCCCCGGTTTGCATTAAAAATAGTTTATTCTTTATTGTTATAAATGTCTCGTCAAAGCGGTAATGTAAGACCAATATTGTAAAAATATTATTAGATAATAAACAAACGTATCGAAAAGACAATTCAATTACTTTATCCCGTAAATAAATATCAACAGTTGTGTGTGTGTGTGTGTGATTTCTTTTTTACATTTTATAATATCGCGCTATAAATGACAAATTGAGATCAAATTTCTTTTCGAATTACACGTGATATTTCCAGGATAGACGTTATATCGTTAATTAAGGCAGATTATTAGAATTGAAAAACGAAACGTTCAAAAGCAGTCGCGATGCAAGAAGCCTTGTTCCAAGAAACATGAAACACGTCGACAGAGCACATCCCTCGCATGCATCAGGCAAAGAAGAACGAGTTAAAAAAGAATCGCACAGATCGAGTACAAGACGATGGGGGCAAGAAAAAGAAGACGAAAAATGTGCTCGCGGGAGTGCTCGAAATGACGATGTGTGGATTTCGGCTTTTGGCAACGAACCAGGTATTCCATCTACCTCTGTCATGTACCCCATCTTCGTTCTCTCCGTGCTTATAGTGGTTTTTCAGATTATATAGATTTTTCCAATGTATCGATGCGACGTATAAAAAGAAAAGATGCTGCGCTGTTAAAGAATGTCAACCATATGCGCTAAATAAAAGGTATATTATTAAAAAAAGTCTAAATATACATAATTTTATACATTAACTTTTTGCGCTACAGATAATAATTTGTCAAACATTATCTGTAACGTTCGAAAATACTTGAATACTAATGTCTAGGGTAAAATTCTTCTTTAAAAAATGTGATAATTTTTGGAAATTATTATTATTATTAATATTTTTCTATTTTACAATTGTTATCTATTTGCCAGTTGAGTCGCATAAGTTAACATTAAGATCTATATGTTATTAGTTGTCTTTTGGGCAGTTATTCAAAAATATTTAATGACTGTTTGTTTTACGTGATATCCGTCAAATGTAGCATCACTCACTGTGATAAATGTTCTTTGTGTTTTATTTACAAATATTCAGCATCAAACATGATAATATATCAGAGAATGCTTCCTGTTTTATAATTAAATGTATACCAACACTTTCTAACTATTTTACATTAAGTAACATTATTATTAATCTCTTTCAGCTACATTTTCTTCATTTATCTACAGTTTTTTTTTATTTTTCTGTTTTGTAAAATGTAGATTATGATTATATTATTTAAAAAGCAATAAGTATAATAAAAAGCAACTGAAGAAAAATAAATTTATATTTTTTTTTCGTTAAATTAAAACGAACACTCACCTTGCTCGTCAAACGTACTTTTTCAGATCCTTCTCGTTGAATCGTCGTTACGCCAGTAACGGTGCAAGAAAACTCTGACGAAAATTCTGTAATGATAGCAACAACAGAAAAAAATATATAAATATCAATATATAATTAAACAAACTGTGGAAATTTTTTTAGGCATCATATTTTAGAACAAAACAAATTCACTTGACTTGACTTCGTTGTATTTATCTTTTGCATTTTTTATAATACCTATACAATATTTGTTGATTTCTATTTTCAATTTATACAAATACGAGAGTTTAAAATTTTCTTGTTAGATGAATAATTATTAAAATTTAAGAACGAGAAATAAGAATTTTTTGTTAATGAGATTAACACCTAACGCAAGCAAAACAGATACTATACCTTTTTTTCTTTTGGATGTAGTGCTCATCCGCGAATTGAATGCCATGTCGCTGTGTTCAATGTTACATTATCATTCTGAAACAAATAAAAATAAAATTAATAAATTTTTACTTCATCAAAATACTAATAAAATAAAAATATTAATGTGTCATTGCGGTATTGCCATCTTTGATTTATAACGCAACACAGAAATAGCTTGAAGATAAATTTCAAGACCAGTTGAACTGGTTCTTAAAATTCTCTTTTTCGGGCAGTAGGTAACTTATCTACATGAAATAGGCGGGAAACTCGACGAATATATTCACGAAATCTCATAAAATTATCATCAATCGCATTGCCAAATGCCTGTTTAAATTTGCAGTGAAGATGAAAAGTACAATAAAATTTATGATAGTTGCCAACTAAAAGTCAACTATAAACATATTTTACGGATATAGTTTGAAAGAAAGTTTGTCTATGTTTTACAGAAAACAATATATAGCTCTGTCAATCAATTCACCTCAATTTGTGTTAATTGAAATTTAAAACTTAATGACAGGAAGAAATAAAAGATGTAAATATTCAAAACAAAATATCGCAACAAATTTCTTTTATTTTTCGGAAATTAATAGTGCTAATAATAATTAAAACGATTGACTTTATTAATTGTGACTTTGTTGGAATTATAATTGGTGATTGAAGGATGTGTAAATACTTAAAACGGAGCAAAGCGGGAGATTTCGTGAAGAATTACAGCGACAATTCTTGATTCCGTTGTTGAATGCCATAATTCATTACCTAACAATAAAGTCGTGCGTAAACGCGCATGAATAAAATAAGCGCGATCAACCTCAGTGGATCAACCTTTGAATTTAAGATTCGATGTTTATTTCCGGCACATGACTCTCGTAGTTGTTACTTCGTCGTGTTTGGCTGACTTCGACGGCTCGTCGCGGCGTTGGCCGCATTTTCTTCTGTTTCGCCGCTAATCGGGTCACTTCCGCTATTCGATTTTCCAAGTACCAAATCTCGCTTAATTGCGGAATCGACGCGCAAAATAATTCTTTAAGGAAAAACGACGTTGCGCGCTAAATCATAATTTCGATATAAGTGTTCAGTAATTTCAATTTTCAAAAAATATATTTTTTGCACTAATTATCATGCGTTCTACATTATTTCATTCGATAATGCAACGAAACAAATCGAGAACCGTACGCTCGCTTGTTCGCGATTTTCCGAGATGTTTTTACTGTAATAAAAATATACTAGTTCTGTGTTAGTGGACGATATATCTGCTTCTTCACATGGTCTAAACACATGGCTTCTATCAAGAAGCTATCATAAGAAGACAAGATTATACCTTGAATGCAGGTCGCAACCAAAGATTAGCAATTTACATCATCGCTTCTGACGGAGAT